CTCCCTAAGCAGGAGCTCCTGCAACAAAGAGAGGAGTTTCTCCCTCGTTTGGCGTAGAGCTGGTGGAGTTACTCCCCAGGGGTTTTTGAACCAAAGAGTTATAGGTGGAGCTTCTCCCCTATTTGGTGGAGCTTCTCCCCCAACGAGGGGTGTACAGCTGGCGGAGTCTCTCCCTAGGGGTTTTTAAAAGCTTTGAGTCGCTTCCTGCAATAATTCTGCCTGCACTGAGACACACTGACCGAACGGCACTCCTCCATCCGTGATGCAGGTCTCCTTGTGGTGGCCTGGAGCTCAGTGGCCTAGGCCTAGCTGCCTGCTTCGAAGCCAGCTTGAGTCAGCTTCAGCCAGCTTGAGCCAACAACCGCAGCTTTCTCTCAAGACTCAGCACCATGTCCAGACCTGAGTCAACACAGGATCCCTCGTTTCAAGCGGAGTACGAGGAATTCTGTCAGCGACGGGTACGTGAACAACTTCCGCATGTCACGTATCGCAATTTCCTGCGCCAGTGGAGGCGCTCCGCTCGTGCTCACGGCGAAAGCTATCCTGCACATAAAGGAGCCTCTAAAGGTACTGGTGGACAGGAAGAGCAGGGAAGCGGAAAGGGTGGAGTCACTCCCCCTCCTCCTCCTTCCAAGAAAAGAAGTACAGGGCAAGGCGAGGGTGGAGATACTCCCCCAGCAGCAAAGGCCAAGAGCGGAGATCCTCCCTCTGGGGACCCCATCACGGAAGCTGCGATCAAAGTTCTTCAGTCAGCTGGTTACACCCCCTTTCCCAGTCTGATGTCAGACTGTGATGGTAACATCACTGAGCTGAACAATCACCGAATTATGGTGACAGTCACTCAGCAGCTGCGTGATGGTCTCAATCAGGTGGAACGACCCTCTCCGGAGGTAGCCAATGCTCTCCTGGAGACCTTCCTGGCCTCCCGCCGAGGACTTGCCAATGAGCCTTTGCACCCTAAACTTGGATATCCCACAGCTGAAGAGAATGGGTGGTTTCGTTTTGAGTACTCTTCACCTAACATTCTTCCTGCAGGGGACAGCGAGGTTGCATTCCACGGTACACACCTGGAATGTTTGCATGGGATACTGGCCACAGGCAGGCTACTTCCTTCGACACCTGACCTCTCCGGCACGCGAAGCTTCGAGGCACGACCAGGCGTGTATCTTCACAGGATGTCAAACAGGCATCTTGCTGCCGGCTACAGTTGTCTGGTGAGGATGGGACCTCGGCACATATTCGTGCGGCCCATGTTTGAGGTGGAGGCTGCGCATTCTGGATCGCAAAAAAAGGGTAAGAAAACAAACCAACTGATATACTCCTATGATGCAGTCAAAATCCGAGCGCTGCTACTGCAAATATCAACCAAGGAGACACTCACCTTAGGTGAGTACCTCCGAGAGTGGAGCGGCTTGTTGGAGATACCACTGAGACATGCTCGGGAATCCTTTTCGGCGCTGGGATACGAGCTGCCTGGCGACGCCTCGTCAAGTGGAGTCAAGGAAGGAGGAGTTGCTCCCCTTTCTTCTCGCGAGCAGGCATCCAGCTCACAGGGTGGAGTTTCTCCCCCGACCATGGTGCCAGAGACTGATCACAGCTCAACAACGCCACGCAGCTCCACTATAGTGGCCTGGGAAGGCCAACCAGGCGATCTAGGGGAATATCGCACTGCCTCTACGAAGCCGGAGAGCAGCTTCTCGATCGAAGTCTCGAAGGCTCTAGCAGCTTCGCTCCGGCACGGACATAAACCCTACCTCAGCGTCACTTCAGCTGGCTGGGCCAAATTAGAGGAAGTCCTGAGATGGCCAAGAGTGCAGGCCCAGCACGCCACGGCAGGCGACCTCCTGGAGGTCGTTCGGAGTAACGAAAAAGGCAGGTACGAGCTGGGCGATTGCCAAGGCCAGAAGTACATCAGGGCTCTGCAAGGACATTCTCGCTCTGATGTGGACTCCAACGAAGTGTTGGAGGAACTCACGGAGGAGATGCTCCCCAGAATGCTGTATCATGGCACGTTCTGGTCCTTGTATGACTCCATACGCCAACGAGGCCTTTTGCCTCAGAAAAAGATTTCCAAGGGTCGCGGCAAAGGTGGACGTGGCAGAGAGGGACGACAGCATGTTCACTTCGTCTCGGATCAGGACTATGGGAGACCTGGTGTTTCTGGAATCAGAGACAGCTCGTCGATGCTGGTGGCGGTCGATCCACGCAGAGCCATGCAGGAAGGGGTGCAATTTTTCCGTAGCAAGAACGGCGTCATTCTCACCCCCTCTGAAGTGCCCCCTTCTGTCATAGAGTACTACCAGAGCCTGAAATCAGGTACTAAGTACGGAGGCGACAACAGGCCGCTCTGATCGTGATGACCTTCACCTAACGGTGGAGTCCCTCCCCACACAGATAATGCAGCTGCTCACGCAAAAATCTGTGTTATGAGGCTGACGGTTCAATTTCATCACCAGACAGCAAGCATACCCCGAGGTCGCATGAAAAGCTCCGTGCGAAGTCGTGGGCCCGGATCTGCAAGTGAGTTGTCAGCCAAAAGTCTTCTGGAAGCTCCACTTGCCTCCTCGTACAGGCTCAACTCGCCAGCTGTCTTGAGTGTAGAAGCCATGCCTGAAACACCGAAGAAGAGTGGCAACAGAGCGACCTCTCGAACCCCTCCACCAGCGCGTCGTCGTCCCCATATATCCAGGTCGCCGCCAGCCAGTGACTCCATTCGGGAGTCTGACTCCGAAGACACAGCAGCTCCCACAGCAGCCCCCAAAGCAGCAGGCCCAAAGGGCCCGCCGCCTCCGATGCCTGTTAACCTGTCAGGAAGTGGATCTAGCACAGATCGGACACCGGGACCAGGTAAGGCACCAGGAGTGCCAGCGAAAGGTGGAGTCCCGGGAGGAGTTTCTCCCCTGGGACCACCGCCAAAGGCTGTGACCTCAACGATCTCCCATCCAGGGACAGGAGAGCTTCATGTCACCAGCACAGGTCCGGCAGGAGTAGCTCCGCCATCTACAAATGTCAACAACGGGCTGGAAGCGGCGCCTGGCCTGCCTTTACTGAGTGTCTCATTGCCTCACCGCCTTTACTATAACATAGAGCTAGTGGTTCGCACCGAGCCTTCACAGCGAGGCTAGACATTCTTGCGAGACAGCAGTGTGCAAAATGGAAGTCGCCAATCAGTCAGAGATACATTGCCAATCAGTCAGTTAACTCGCTCATTAGTGCCAGAGTCTGCAGCTCGAGCCACTGACGACACGTCCGATTCCAACTTCATTGCTTGCAGCCTTAAGGGGCGGAGCGTGTGCGAGTGCTGTGTTAAGGCACGGCTCGTCATGAAGTGACCGCGCAAGTAGTAAGCAGAGCAGCAGGTCGACCCCTCGCAAAGCGTGGACGTCAAGTTTCACCTCAGACAGTATCCTCCCGCTGCGTGTGAATGAAAATGTTGTTGTTGTTGTTGTTGCTGTTGTTGTTGTTGTTGTTGTTGTTGTTGTTGTTGTTGGTGTTGGTGTTGGTGTTGGTGTTGGTGTTGTTGTTGTTGGTGGTGGTGTTGTTGTTGTTGTTGTTGTTGGTGGTGGTGTTGTTGTTGTTGGTGGTGGTGTTGGTGTTGTTGGTGTTGGTGTTGTTGTTGTTGTTGTTGTTTTGTCAAGCGCCAACGGCAACAGCAACAGCAACACGTCGAAACCTCTTAGAGGTTTAGGGTCGGAGCATTGAAAAGATTACCGTGAAAGGTTGTGCGCTTAGGGTCTAGGGTCTAGGGTTGGGAAGGGTTCTCGGCTTCAGGTTCACAGATGTTCCGTCACCTCGTGTGTGTAATCGCGACTTAAGCCCTGGGCCCAGAAGCCTACCCTAAGGCTCCATAGTAGTTCCTTTTTAGGGTTCATATTTAGAATCCTATAAGGTAGCCCCAAAAAGGAACTACTTTGGAGCCTCTGGGTAAAGCCTACAGTAAACCCAGACAGCCTGACCTTGCCGAAAACCAATGTGGCAAAACACATCCGAAGCTTTAATGCTCCATCCAGCCCCGGGTTTAGTACAATGCAAAGTGCCCGAAGACCCTCTTTAGTTTATGAAGGCCTCTAGACCCCTCAACGCCTGAAGCAGAAGACTCACTAAAGCCTCGACGCCCTAAGCTGTTAACAGTTCAGAGGAGAATGAGGACAGGCTGCGGGGGAAAGCGGGTTGTGTTGAGGGTTTTTGGGCTGAAGGGCTTACACTGTAATGTTACTGTTATATACCGTTTCTCACAACATAGAATTCGCCTCGCACTTCCGCAGATCCCAATCATGTCCAGTTTGTCTATTCCAAATGCTTCTGAACCTCTATAGCGACGACTCTATATACAGGGTGTACACAGACCCCGATGCACCAGCAACCTTTCCACAAGCCCTGGTGCATACGTACTTACCACCAAGGGCACCTAAGCTCCATTCTCTTGACCCTACAAGCCCCAGATCTTCCAGACCTTGGAAATGCAAAGCTGGAAAGGACTTTTCGTCGCCGTGCAGAAAGCTGTTGTTGCAAAGCCCCTTGATCCGGCGAAGATGGCCCAAGGCTGGGCGAACAGGCTCCAGATCGACTGCTTTTGTTCGGCTGCATCCTGGTGCCACAAGGCACTAGATCCCAAGCATTCCGCCCAGCGCTAGCCTTGGCAGAGTGGGTAAAGGCAGGACCACGACCTGACGGCGTCCTGATGTTTGTGACTTGAGCCCCGTTCACGAACCCCCGCGCAGAACACACACACATAAGCAAACAAAGAGACACAGAGACAGAGAAAGAGAGAGAGAGAGAGCGGTAACCGGTAAACATGCATGCATGTACGCTAAGGCTCGGCGTGTGGGATGCACAAGGCTTATAGTGGGCCGCGACCTGTAGAACCTTAGCCCTCGCCACAGAAATCCCAAACGCACAACCCGCAATCCTAGACCCAAACATGCCCAGCCCCCAAGCCCCCAACCCCAGGACCCTAAACCCTAAACCCTAAGCCCCAAACCGAAATACAAGCCAACGGCCTAGCGTCTCGAAGTACTCCACGACAGCCTGCTTGGAGGCTCAGGGGTAGTTATAAGTAGGGTTATAAGGGCTCCTTTAAGGGTCCCTTTAAAGGGATCTATAGGCATTCTATAAGGGTATAGGGTTTAGGGTTCATGGGTAGTTATAAGTAGGGTTATAAGTCCCCTAATATGAGTTATAAGTATAGCTACCCTACTTATAGCCCCACTTACAACTACCCATGAAACTCCAAGTGGCTACGAGCAATGCTCAGGAATTCTAGCGGTTCAGCCTTCATGATTGGAATAGGGTTTTGGGGAAATTGTATTCATTACTATATACTTTTCTATCACTATACTAAAGAATCCACAAGAATAGTAATATGCAGGCCCCTCTATTAGGCAAGATTTTGGAGGACAGGAGGAGCTAGGACCGAAAGAACGGACCTACAGCCCCAGGCCCGCGCTCTGTGCGAATCTGGGAAGGGTTTAGGGTGTTTCGGGTTTTTGAAAGTTTTTTTGGTTTTTGGTGTTTTTAGGGTTTAGGGTTTAGCGCTTAACGGTTTAGGGTTTTTAGGGTTCTTTGGGTTGTTATTTTAGGGTTTAGGGTTTATACGGCTTAGGGTTTAGGGTTTAAGGGGTTCACGAACAAGCGAGGAGTCCGGGCCAAGGGGCTCTGCTTGGATCAATGTACCCCCCAAAACCCTGAAAGCCCGAAGCCCCAAACCCTGATCCCGACTGCAAACCGTCACATGCACATCACGTGCTTGCTTATGCTTTTCACTAAATTCTGACTCATGTATACGCATGTATAAGTGCATCCGGCACATGTTCGAACTTCTGCATGGGCTTCTGCCTTATTTTTTGTTCCTTGTTGGCATCATGGTGGTATCATGGTGCTGCATTATGTTCAGGACCCTCAACCCTAAAAAGCAAGCCTAATTCAAATAACTACCCGTATTCATTCCACCGAAGGCTAGCCCCCTGAGTGGTACGGCATAGTCCTTAGACCAGGCCTTGATTGTTTAGGCCCGGATCCGTTATCATAAGGGACAATAACCAATGAATAGACCCTGATTACAGTAGGATCCCTACTATGGGTGGTTGTCAAAAATTAGGGTTCTTCTTTGGGTACCTATTATAATACGGCACCTGATATTTATGGTACCCAAAAAGGGACCCTCATGTTGACACCCACCCATTTAAGGATCAAACCTTGCAGACCTGCAAGCCTCGAACTCTGGAGCCGCCAAGCCTGTAAAGCGTCAGATCCTTGAAACCTGAGCCTCCAAAACCCCTTAATTCAAGAATAAGAATATGAATAATAAGAATAATATAAATAAAAAAATTAAGGAATATACCTTATATCAGAATGGGATCCCTAATATGATTTAGTATACTCCTTAATGAAGGGGTTTCGGAGGCTCTGGGAAACCAAAGCCTGCGGTCTTGCCACCCGAAATCCCGAAAGATTACCTAGACCTCCAAGTCCTAGACGCTGAGAGGCCCATAGCCCTCCTCCTCCAAGCCTCAACAACCTTACCTTTGGTTCGTAGGGAACGGAGGAATGGGGTACAATTACAGCCACTATTACTACCATTCTTCCATTCCCTACCAACCAAAGGTAAGCAATCCCAAACTCCGAAACCCGCAAACAACAGCGAACAAAACAGAATTGCAGCTGTGGGAACCTGGGAATTCACCCCCTCCTGGAACATGGAGTACCTGAGTAGGATTTAAGGCTTAGGCTTTTGGTTCGTTCACGGCTTATACCCTGGGATTGCTGGGATTGTTATCTGTCTTGTTCGAGGCTCTTTCCATGAGGACGCCTTCAACGTGGGCTTTAGAGATTGTAGCGGGTGGTCTGTCTTGAAGTCGCTCTGTCGGTGGTCACCAGGAACCGAAGTCCTGATCTCAGAAATGCACCATGGGCACCTGAAGAGCTTGAGAGGCTTGAATATCCATGGCTTCCCGGAAACCAGCCTTAACCTTAGAATCCCTAGAAGCTAAAACCATGATACACGACAGGCTTACTGGGCAAAACCCGGGTTTAGAGGAGCTTGTAATTATAACTATGCGCAACTAAGCACACAATCCCAGACTTAGGGACTATTAAGGGCGCAAAGGCCCGAGCTCAGTGTCCCAGGTGCGTAATGATGCCATCTTTCTCCGCACCCAGCTTGCTGAACAGAGCGCGGATCCTAGCTGGATACAAAAGGGGTTTGACTTGGGGTCAAAAGGCTCAGGGGTGAAAAGGCTTGGGGTTAGGTTTTGGAGTTTCGTTACAGGGGGATACTGCGGCATCCACTCCTATTCCTACGTTGACTATTAGAGACATAGCACATCGATTTGGACCAAACACTTCCCATCAACACTGGCACCCCGAAACAATCCGAAAACGGCACCAGCGGCGGAAACTTCGCGATCAGGAGGGTCATCTCGTTAAACCGGAAACCGCGAGAAGCTTTGGACACCGTCGCTCGAAGGGACGACAGAGAACGACAGCGCCGAAAGCCAGCAACCCGCCTAAACACCAGAAGTCCTGCTATAGGGGCCTTAATAATTAGAATAGGGTTTTAATCATAACAAGGAACCCCCAAAAAAGTATTGGTAATTTAGGCCCCTTTATTACGTATCTCTGGTTGAATCGCAGGAGCCATGACTGCATGAACGCTCAAACTGTCGACTGCCAGAAAGAGGCATTCCCCAATTCCCGAAAACCCAAAACCCTAATGCCTGAAGGGTGGAATTTTTTTTTGGTCCTTTTTTTTTGGGAGGGGGGGGGGTGGGGGTAGGGCTGGGGGTTTCGGGTTTAGGGGGGAGTTGTCTACGTTCCGGGTTTCGGGTTTAGGGGGGAGTTGCCAAGGTTCCCATAGGTAAAACCAATCTTTTATCTAGTTTTAAGGTGGAAAACCAAGATTTTCTCGATATGTCCATATCTACATCCATAGACCTGTATTTGTCTATGTTTACTTCTACGTTTACGCAGGAAAACAAACGAGTGAAGTTGTTTTGGGGGCATTTCTCTTTGTTGGGTGCTTCTTGTTGCTCTTTGGTTCGTTGTCTCAAATACAGCTATGGCATTGAATGGATGTAGATATGGGCATATCGAGAAAATCCTGGTTTTCCACCTTAAAACTAGAGAAAAGACTGGTTTTATCTATGTTAACGTAGGCAACTCCCCCCTAAACCGAAACCCCCAGCAAGTAGTGACGGCAGTAGTCGGGCCTTCCTTCCGTCCTTCTCTCCTTGCTTCCCACGGAAGGGCCAACAAAAAAAAGTGCCAAAACAAAACAAAATAAAAGTGCCAAAAAATTGGGTCCCCATCCCTGAACCCTAAACCCCAAACCCCAATCTCTAAACTCTAAACCCCCATCCCTAAATCCTACAGCCCTAACTTCTAAACGAATGGGAGCTTCATTTGGCCATGTCATGTCTGATTCATGGTCCTTGAGATTCAAACTTAAGTCCAAAAGATTTAAGGTCTTTGAGACTCAAACCTATGTAAATCCAAAAGTGAAGTTTCAGAACCTTTAGACCCTGAAGAGCGGGAACCTTATTGAAAGCGCCTCTTCTGCAGGGTACCCTACTGTCGAAGAAAATCCCCTTAAACTCTACCTTAACCTACCAAAACCTACTTTTTTGTAGGGTCCCCATAAATTCCATATTAGGGTTTATATTAGATGGGGCCCCGGCCCACTAATAGTTAAAAATAGGTTTATCATCAAACAGACAGGCCAAAAGTAGCACAAGGAAATCTGATCTCATTCGGTTTTCCAGGGCCAAGCAGTGTTTTGAATCCAAATATGTTTGGCATAGTTTGGCGATTAGGGCTGTGAGATGGGGTCGGACCGGCGAAGAGGTTGGGAGGAGCTATCTGCAACTTACCAGCGAAGAGGTTTGGAACCACGGTTTCGTTACCATCGCAACCTGGGCCCGGAGACCTTCTTTCAGACGGCCTGGACGCGGGGACTGGACTGGCCCGGCCGCCAGAGAGACAGAGCAAAACTAGCACCAGAAAAGCACAAAAAAAAACACAATCGGACCGCGTCGAGCACAAGAAAAGCACAACAGACAGAGACAATTTTGCACCAGAACTGCCGCGCGCCAATGTGTTTTGAAATCATGGAGCACAAAAAAAGCACAAACATACAAACACGTTTGGTTTTTGGAGCACAAGAAAAGCACAAAAAAAAACACAATCGGATCGTTTCGAGCACAAGAAAAGCACAACAGCCGGAGCGTTTCGAGCACAAGAAAAGCACAAAAAAAAAACACAAACATACAAACACGTTTGGTTTTTGGAGCACAAGAAAAGCACAAAAAAAAAGCACAATCGGATCGTTTCGAGCACAAGAAAAGCACAACAGCCGGAGCGTTTCGAGCACAAGAAAAGCACAAAAAAAAAAGCACAAACATACAAACACGTTTGGTTTTTGGAGCACAAGAAAAGCACAAAAAAAAAGCACAATCGGAGCGTTTCGAGCACAAGAAAAGCACAACAGCCGGAGCGTTTCGAGCACAAGAAAAGCACAAAAAAAAAGCACAAACATACAAACACGTTTGGTTTTTGGAGCACAAGAAAAGCACAAAAAAAAAGCACAATCGGAGCGTTTCGAGCACAAGAAAAGCACAAAAAAAAAGCACAAACATACAAACACGTTTGGTTTTTGGAGCACAAGAAAAGCACAAAACAAAAAGCACAATCGGAGCGTTTCGAGCACAAGAAAAGCACAACAGCCGGAGCGTTTCGAGCACAAGAAAAGCACAAAAAAAAAGCACAAACATACAAACACGTTTGGTTTTTGGAGCACAAGAAAAGCACAAAAAAAAACACAATCGGATCGTTTCGAGCACAAGAAAAGCACAACAGAAAAGAGGTTTCTGTGATCGAAATGTCGCGCCCGGGTACGCCTCTCAGTACTAAACTTGGTCGAAGAGGCCAGACCCCGGCCCGGCCTCAGCCCGCCCCCCACCCCCCCGTCCGTTCAGCTTTCCAGCCCAGCCCCCTCAGCCCCCCCCAGCACCCCCAGCCCCCCCCGCCCCGCCCCCCCTAGTCGCGCAGAGGCATTGCAGCTCCTGATGTTTGCTCAAGATCGAATCCGAGAAAACAACAGGGGTGTGACTGTGCTTGCAACTCATGGGGTGGCAGTTTACTTGTTGTCTCAGTCTTGCGTTTTCCATTCATGCGAGCATGATCACAAACGAGTCAACATTTCAGCATTTCCCTGGTGCTTCATCTTGTGCTTCTGTTTCTGCCCACTATTAGTGAGGCGGGGCCGCACACAAGGTTTATAATAAGAACCTACAAAAAAGCAGGGCTTGGTAGTTTAAGGTGAACTCTAAACCACACAGCGGAAGCAGCCGAGGGACTTCTCGACGTGGGCTTCCTGTCGCTTGCAGACTTCCGCTGAGGTCGGGATTGCTCGAGCTTGCACCAGATATCATGCAGGGATAGAAAATGCTTTGGGCTTTGGGTGTGGGGGGAGGGGGGGAAGGCGGGAATTGAGAGTTTTTGGAGTTAGAACCCGTGCAGTTTATTTAGGAGTCTAGGTCTGAAGGGTTGGGGCATCAAGGCGCTTCTTTGCGAAGCCCACCCCGAAAGTCTGAAACTCTAAGACTCAACCCGTAGCCCTAGAAAAGATAAGACATGCACTAAATCCTATTCATGTTGTCAAAGCGTAACTGTATGACATAGAGGCCTGAATAATTAGAATAGGGTTTGGGGGCCCATTATACTATAACTATAATAAGGAGGCCCCACAATAGTATAGGTAATTATTAAGGCCCCTGTAGTAAACCCCAACGGCCCAAACCCCCAGAGCCCTGCGACTCTCAAGCCGTGGTGAATACTAGAAGGCTCCAGCCCAACAGCCCTAAACGCAGCCCTAAACCCTCATTACTCATGCTGAGGGATGTAGGGTTGATTGCGCCTAGCGAACTCATGAGATAAGGATTCCTCTATTCAAGCTCTCTGTGACAGAATTCATGTCCTAAGGGTGAAAGGGCAGAATTTCGGGTTGAAGCTGGACTCTTGGGCGTATTCAGAGAAAGAGGCTCAGCGGCGTTCCATTTGGGAGTGTCAGTATAGATGCCTAAAAACTTCGTCGTATTCACTCCTACATGAGTTGCTGGGCTTCTCCTGTAATCGAGGGTGGTACGGATCTGTAATTCAGGGAGCCCTTTCTGCTCCGTGGCATGCTTCGGTTTAGGGTTTAGGGTTTAGGGTGTCTAGCAGTATTCCGTGCTGCTCAGTACCTGTCACAACCTAAACCCGCAACAACCCTAAACAGGAAGCTCAAGGCCAAAGAGTCCAAGAAATTAACTACCAATGCCGTAGGTATGTAGTAGATATTCGGAAGCCAGAAGTGTATGCTTTGCTTTTACTTGGACGCTTTGGAAGAGGTCCTTGTTGGCAAGCATAGACTGCACCACATTGGCGTGATCATTCTGGGCGCTTTCTATCGCACTTTGACAGAACCTGGGCACAGGACTCTAGCCGCTTTGAAACCGAACTCTCTCTCTCTCTCTCTCTCTCTCTCTATATATATATATATATGTATATATATATGTATGTATGTATGTGTGTCTGTATACACAGACATATATATATATATATAGTACCATAAACCTACTATGCTGTTATACCACGTATATAGTCTTATTATATTTATACTTCACAAGCCGTCTCGGAATCTAGAGTTTCTTCCATGGCTGTGTCGAGGTACTGGGGCATCCTGGGCTTGGGGCTTAAGGGTTTCAGGGTTCAGGGTTTAGGGCTTTAGGGTTATGGGGTTTAGGGTTTGGGGTTTGAGGGGTTTAGGGTTCAGGGTGTAGGGTTTGGGGTTTGAGGGTTTGGGGTGTTTAGGGTTCAGGGGTCGGGTGGCTTCGGGGTGACCAGCGGCGTTGGGATCTGGTTCTACCAAGTCTTGCAAGGAAGCTGCGGTACCGACTTAACACCTCAAAGATGCGAGGGCCAGTGCTTCAAAGACACGATGCTCTCTTGAGGTGCCTTTCTGGCTTGCAAAGTTATGTGAAGCCTGTGCAGAACAATATCAACTCTAGGGTGCTGGGCCCGGTCATGATAGTGATGGCAGCTTTCCCCACTAGGAAAATCAAGAGACACGCCCGTCAGCACGTTGAGAACAGCGAAGTACCTTGATCGGGAACAGGGCTCTGCGTGCATGATGATGTGACGAGTGGGATGTAGCGAAGAAGGAACCCTGACCCAGACCATGTGACGCGATTTTGCGAGCTTGCCCATGCCAGACAGATGGAAGTTCTATCTATCGACTGCAGGAAATGCAATGCCATGCTGACACATCGGCAGTTCATTCCTCCGACAGTCTTTACGATACTTGAAGTGCCTTGATTTTCCGTTCTGCAGGGACGAGGATGCTGGGGATGAATACAGTGATAATGCTCGTGATGTTGGCGGTATGTGCCAGGCTATGTTGCTGCTACTGACCGTAGTGCGGTAATGACCATATGAGTGTCAGAGACTTTGCGCTTGTCGCAGTGACGGCGGTGATCATCGGCATGATGGCAGTGATGACAGTGATATTGACGCATTATTCGTTGAGATTGCTCTAGGTCCTAGGTAAAGACGGCATGGATGGCGGGGTCAAGACGACCAGGGCGTGCGGGCTGCAGCAGCTGATAATGATGATGGTGATTGTTGCTACTGCTAGCCGCTAGCCATGCCCACTACTTCGTCCTGTCTTGCACGTTCCGTTGGAAATGGAAAGCCCTGGAGAGGTAGGGTCGTGCTTCTATCTTTGCAACTTGACTGTCAAGCTAGGAGCCTGAGATGAGACACGGGACTCAGTCCTCAAACCCCGCTCTGGCTGGCTGGCTCTCTGCATCTCTGTCTCTCTGTCTGGCTGTCTCTCCCTCTCTCTCTCTGTCTCTCTCTCTCTATCTCTCTCTCTCTCTCTCTCTCTGCTTGTCTCTCTTTCTGTCCATTTGTCTGTCTTGTCTGTCCGTTCGTTAGTCGATTGGTCAGTCAGTTTCTGTCTCTGTCTCTGTCTCTGTCTCTGTCTCTGTCTCTGTCTCTGTCTCTGTCTCTGTCTCTGTCTCTGTCTCTCTCTCTCTCTCTCTCTCTCTCTGTCTCTGTCACTGTCTGTCTAACTGGCTGCCTGCCTGTCCGTCCGTCAGCTATCTATCCATCCATCCTTCATGTTTACATATCTAGACATAAGCTGGTACTGTTGATGGACAAAATCCTGCATGACCCTAACGACTCTACACTATGGGAACTATGGCATATTCCTTATAATGGGTAGTGCAGGATTTTGCCCATTAACAGTCTGCCGGCATGGCTCCCAAACCCTTCATTGACCCCATGACAATTTTCATGCCCTGAGGACGTAAACGCAACGTAGAAGAGGAAGACCATTACCCAGATAAGGGAGATCTTTTCCAAGGGCTCCAGGACTTCCTCTTCGGATTCGGGCTTTAGGGTAAAGATTAAGTTAAGGTTCAGGATTTAAACATTTATGTAAGGGTTCTGAGGCTTCCTTTCGGCATTTCTTTCAGGGGCTTTGGGGTTTGATATGCGTGCGGACTTTCGGGTTCAAGGCGTGTGCCTGCGTCCGGCTTTGGGAGTTTAGAGTTCAGGAACTGGGCCTTGGGGCTGTTGCAGTTCCCATGCGCCCTGGATGTGGAGTTTAAGAACTATAGGTCAGGGTACCTGAATCTAGCCTGGATTGCAAAGAACCAGCGCTTCTTGGGTTTAGGATTGGAAGCACAGCACGCTGAGCCCTCGAAGCCCTCAATGCTCTTGTGTTGAATCACACGGATTCAGTTCACCGCTTTAGCGAACTCTGGTACGTCCATGCTAGCTGAATCCTCAACCCGGAGCATTGAACCAGCTTACGTTGCTGCATTGCTTGAAAGCTTCCATTGCGAAGTCTTCTACGCCG